GACAGGTGAAATCCAATCAATCTTCACCTCAAACAGTGAAAACTCAATCTATCAAATGACACTGGTTGGCTCGCGTGACTTGACTACAGGGTTCCTTTGTCTCCTTATCACTCACCTGGCTTCTCCACGAATCCTGTACTGCAACACCCTGGGACTGTTTTATGCTAGGTCTTTTCTCTGAATAGCAGTTCTCATTCCGACCACCTTTAGCACAGAGCCTCTCTTCTCTGGCTAGGATTCCCAGTAGCTTCAGTTTCACTCCTGAGCTTTGCCTCCATGACTTACTTCTAATGCCTGTTGGATGACTTGTATGTTCAAAACACATTTCAAAAGACCCAGCATGACCCTGAATGAATCTTCATATGTTCTAGCCCCTAAACGTTTCCCCCTTCCTTTCCTGAATGGACAATCATCTTCTGAGACACTCAGACCTGCAACTTTGCGAGTCTGACCCTTTGCTGCCTCAGTTCATGGCCAGGTCCTGCTGGATGGATGGATGTTTGGATGACTACAGTATTTCTTGCAGTCATTCCTCCTTCGATCAGTGACCGCAGCCATCACTTCAACTCTTTTCACTTTTGTTACTTTCCAATGTGTCTGCATAGTGCTGCAGAAGCAATCCTTGCTCATTGTGCCGTTCCCTTGTTCAAAACTGCCAATAGCGCTCTGCTGCTGGAGGAAGTCCACATTGCCTAGTCTGATGGTAAAGATCTGAACCTCGTTTCCCTTTTTCAGACTTGGACTTCATCTCCTTCCCGTCAGGTACTATATGCTGTGATTAAATGGACCGGCAGAGCAGTGTCGTCAACTCTGACTCCTGGTGACCTCCTGTGCGTCGGGGGAGAACTGTACTCCATAGGGTTTGCAATGGCTGCGTTTTCCAGAGTAGCTCAGTCCTCAGGCTTTTGTTCCAAGGAATCTCTGGGTGGCAGCCACTCACCAAGCATGTTAACCATTTCTGCCACCTGGGGATCCCAACTAAATAGAGCTGTGCACGGCGGCCTGACAGGGCTGTGTTCTTTCCACCCCTTCATTCTGTTCCTTGGCTTGGGATGTCCCTTCTTTGCCTCCTATTCCATAAATCCAACTCCCGAGTACTCCTCAAGAGAAAGTGCAGCTCATACGGATTAAGCTTTTGCCTTGATATACTAGGGTCAACATGATTGTCCCTTTCTAGAATTTCCACAATAGTTCACAGACACCCACACTTCGGTGTGTTTATAACTCTGGGTTCCGTTTCTCTCTTTTCTCTTTGATTTGACTGAAATGATAGGCTCTGACATGTCTATCTCTGAATTCCTCTGTATACTGTAGCGCTCAGTGCTGTAGGAGAGAAAAGACCTTGTAGGAGGGACCCCAATACATTGCAGAACAAAAGCTGAGGGCCTGGAGGGTGTGGACATTATTTCTATCACATCTGTCTGTGGGAGGGTGAGCTGTTCCCTAGTCTACGTCATACCACATAGCTAGATGAAAACAGAAACATTTATTCATCAATATTATACCCCCAAACTACAAGTTACCTAAAGACTCTGCATATCTTGAGCTGGAAACAAAACATCTATACATGAGAGTCTTTTAACAGAAACGGTTCTTGTAAAGATCATACCTCAATGGAAATGAATTTTTCTGTGATACTAAAAATGGCCTAGCTTGCGGCTTGTGCTGTCTCATTATTGGTGTAACACACGGTTGACTTTGTCCACTTCAGCGGGCACTGTTTGTTGGGCTGGGTCGGGTTTCATTTCTCTGTTCTGTGAGAGGTGGGGATGAAATGGTTGGTTCTCTTCTCTTAAGATATTGTCTTACTGTTGTTTGAGCTTTACAGTAAATCTTGTCTTTTTTTTAAGTTTATTTTTAAAATCACTTTATTGGGGGCTCATACAACTCTTATCATAATCCATGCATACATCCATTGTGTCAAGCACATTTGCACATTGGCAATCGCTGCTCCAACATTGCATGTATAGCACCCGTGACTTGATTATGGCCAACTGTGCTTCTGATGAATGAAATTCTAGTTAGTATTGTGGAAAGCATTTAGATAAGCGAATAGTAGAGAATTTCTATAATGACATGGGAATAGGAGCCCTCCCCGCCTTTTTTTTGTTCTATGGACTGAATTCTTTCCACCTGAATTTGCAACTTAAGAGACACCTTATCCTCTGACCTCTCTCTCTGGGCGCTCTCTGGCTTCCCTCTCTTCTCCCATCCTCTCTCCCTTGTTCCCTTGCCCTTCTTCCCTTCCCCCTCTCTCCATCTGGATTGCCAAGCTGGGCTGAGGGTGTGGCAGTTACATTATCTCCTGTCAATTTATGAAGAAATGGAGTCTAGCCTGTCAATCAGGTCACAGCTTGATGACCTCATTTGAGGGCCGGAAGGAGATAAATAGCTCATTGGAGGGCAGACACAAGCTCTGCTTCCTCTTCCTGCTGACAAGCCAGATGTGCTACCTGAGGGTGCCAGACCAGAGCCCTGGAGCTGGAGGAGCCACCTGGACACCCACGCCAGCACTGAGATGCTTCCACCACCACTGGATCCACAAGATTTTCCATCCACTGGCCTGTGATCTTCCTGCATTCGGTATCCTTGCATGTTGCATGAGTCTTTAGAGGAATTTATAGACTGGTATCGGCCATATGGGCTAATGTTGGACTTATGGACTTGAGGACAGGGTGGGCTGTTTTCTTCATATACAATTGCTCTTTTACATAAAGCTCTTTCTTTCTTTTTTTTTTTTTTTATAAAGCTCTTTCTTATAAAAAAAAAAAGAGACACCTTATCAATAGTCATGCAAAAAACCTGGTAAGCCTTTGGTGAGAATGAACCTTAGGGAGATCTACGGGCTAACTAAGGCAAAGAACAAACAGAGGCCGCAAACAGTGGGCAAAGTCTGGGTGCTGAAGAGTTACCAAAGTCTCTCTTTGATGGTGACACATTTTTTTTATGCTAAAGAACTTATTTGCATTCACTGAATTCCAGGTCATAGCACAAATCCCCGAGCATTCATTAAGAAGCAACACAAACCCTTGTCCTGTCAGGGAGCTATTGCTACTTAAATCCAAGGTTTGCAAGTTTATGGATCAAAATTCTCATGTTCTTTGGGTTTCCAAACACAACTTACATCCTAATCCAAACTCTCCAAGAATTCTCTAGACTTGTGCCATCCCATTACTTGCTAGATGTCCTCTTTACCGGTATTAACTTCATATCAAGGTGTTAGGGCTTAACATATGTTTCTAACAAATGGTTCAGTCCTTTGAGGCCTGGTGTGACAGGGATACTTGAAAAGTCAGGATGACTTTTTCACAATTTGAAAATGCTTAGCTTAGCTCACAGTGCTCAAAAAAATGGTGTATCCTGGGTGTGTCCATTGAATGGCCAGGTCCCCAATTCCCAGTATGAATGCATGCCCCTCCAGGCATACAAACTTCTGCTCGGAATCTGCAGTCATCTACCACGATGACACTATTCCCTTCTGTCCTATTCTAATTGCCCTCGTCCCTCCATGTCTACTCGGCTTGACTGTTTTCTAGTTCCCTACCACAGAAAAGGACTGTGTTTCAATGTAAAGAGAACACAGACACACCTGTCCATACCTGTCTCTCACTGTTTACATTCACATTCATATTCCCATTTGCAATACATTCATATTCAGATTCCTCCTCCCATCTGCTCTGAACAACAGGTGTCTAGGACATCACAGGCAGCCTGGATAGAAACAACTTTTTTGAGACTTCTTGGACATTGTAATGTGACTGCAAGAGCCCTCTTCTGAACCTAAGGTGACCCCGGTGTAGTTTTTCTTACTTTATAAAAAGACATCTGTTATGAACACTAGGTCCTAGGATCTAGGGGACAGAGGGCTTTGACACCAGAGGAGTGGCAAAGGAGCAGCGACAGAAGACCCAACAGCCAGAGCATGAGGCACAACACGAGACAGAGGGGTGGGTCCCAGCCCATAAGTGAGTAAGGCTGAGTGCCTCTGAGTGGGAGGCTTGCTTACAGAGGGGAATGACTGCATACACTTAATCAGGGTAGCTGGGTTTGCTGACCCACAAAGCTAGAACTGAGTGCCTTTGAGCAGAGGCTTATTTAAGGTGGAGTGAGATGCCTTTGGGGTGTTATTGGCACCGCTAAATGAGCTTTATTACAGTCCAGGGGCCAAGGTGTAGCATGGTGGAGAGGCCAAAGACCAGAGAGAAGTGTGCCTGCCAGAATTGCTGAGAAGAGACTATACTGACTGAAGAAGTGTATTCTGAGCATTTCTGATCCTGAATTGTAACCTGTTAAATTCTTCAACAGACTCCATAAAGAGGAATATTGTATTGAGTTCGGTGTGGCCATTGCAATGAATTATTGAGCTCAGAAGAGAAGTAAAGAGTGTTATGGGAGGGACAGTTGATGTCAGAATTGGTGAGAAAGGAATAAGAATCAACCTTGAACTGCTAAACTTGATTCTTGTTTCCCTTTACAGAATCACAGTAGTTTAGATAACTTCACTAGACTTTTGTTTTGGTCAGTCTTTTAAGAAAATGTTAGACCTGTTGCCTTTAGTATTTTTTCAGAGTAAAAGGGGTTAGTTGTTACTTAAAACAAGGACTATACTATTTATTTCCATTAATTCCCAGGTGCAGTGATTTAATATTTTAAGAATTTTGCTTTGGGTGAAAATGCTTTATACTAGAGGTTAGAAATGGCTAATTCTTAACAACTGTTACTTTAGATGGTCCAACAAACACAAGGAAAACCTGCACCAATAGATGTTTTCATCAGAGAGGTTTACTTTGGCACACATACTTCTTACAACCCTTTACTCTTTGCGTACCAATTAATAAAACAAATATTTGGTTCAACCAGGCAACAGACGTTATATTTCGCATCTACAACTGCCTATGAGAATACTCCTGTGTTATAGAGAACACAGGCATTTTAGAGAATGGCATACACTTGGAGTTTTCATGAACAATAAAGAAAGCTAGAGTAAACAGAAGTATTACCTTAGGGTCATGTATTCCTGAAAGTTCTTCATAGATCTTCTCCCCTACCATGACAGCAGCCAAGTTTGCCGTGTAAGTAGAAAGGCAAAACATACAAAAAATGGCCCAGAGGTTCATGAGAAACCGTCCAGTCCAGCATTTGGGGGGTTTGATGGCCGATGTTCTGCCAAATAAGAGCGCATAACAGACATTCAAGGCTGAAGAGAAGGAGAAAACTTTGCTTCGATTTCGTCCCTTGGGCGTCATGCCGAAAGGGCTCTTCCATTCATACAGAGTGAGGAAGATGGCAGTGATGTGCAGAGCCACAAAAATCCCCAGCCACATGGTCCAGTGGAGTGGCCACATGAAGGCTCCAATGGGAGCTGCTGTGTCTCGGGTCCTCACCAAGATGCCCAAGCTGGTGGAGAAGAAAGGGCTGGTGAAATCTATCACCTGGCTTCGAGCAGTATTGATGCTGAAGGAAGTGACTGCCATGTGGGCTGTCCCACTCAGAAGATCGCCCACCAGCCCAGTCCAGTGCCCATTTTTCCAGGCTCCATACTTCCCATCCCCAACTATATAGAGGTCAAAGTCAAAGTTCATATCTTCTGCTAGCTTTTCCAGCAGGTCAATGCAATATCCATAGCAGCACTTCTTGAACGCAATGGGCACTGTATCGTTAGTGCTATGGAGGCTGCTGAAAAGGCTGTCCAATACAGAGGAGTTCGTAGTCATGGGGTCTAGACAGAGTTGGCCAGCAGGGCACAAGCCTTCATCATCTACCTCTCGAGTGAAAACAAAAGGGTGCTCAATCAGGGTAACCACGCGCAAGTGCAGCTTACTTGGGTGCTGGAAGTGGGTTTTGTGCCTCTGGGACTGCTCTGGCCATAGCCCATAGTCCATGACAATTTCCCCCCCCTGCCAACTGCCCAAGCGAGTCCACATTGGCTTTCCCAAAGGGTCATGCTGTAGATTCCAGATGAAAAAGCTGTTTTCTGAGCTGACGATGGTGGAACCCTTCACTCTGATGGAACCACTGAGGCCTCGGAAAGTGGTGTTGGCTAGAAACCTGGCAAAGAGGAGCAAAGACAAAAGTCAGGAAGAGAAGTGAGGTACGAGACAGGAAGTGATGCAACTCTTTGCTTCTTTGTTTGAATACAAAGAACCACAAGCACTGCTGACAATGTCTTTCGGAATAAATAAACGGGACTCTTTCCAGAAGAGATCTAATCCACAGAGCAATGGAGAGCTTACCCTCCTGTTCAAGCCCAAACCAGACATTTGACTCTTGGTTTTCTTCCAAAGCTCTGCAGTCCACATTATGCAAGGTATTACTTGCTTTCTGTTGCAAACTGTCAATTATATATTCTAACATTTTCCGAGTGATGGAGGTTTTTAGCATCTTTAACATGTGTATGTCGATTCTCCAGTACATTTGATTGCAGCTAGATCTGCTCACAAATATTTTTGTTTCTGGGAATGACTTTTAATAATGAAGTGTAAACTTTAAAAATTGCTTAACAATTGCATCTGTAGGTGTAGAGCAGAGCCAAAATCGTATCTGCAATGTTGCTCTTTGTGGAGTGGAAACCATCATCATCACTGTCCCTGTGAGGCTAGACCTGCATGCTGGAGCTCATCCATGGTGCAACGAAAAAGATGATAAATAGACAGCCTCCAGCTACTCTCCCTCTAAGTCTTTAGAGAAAAACAATTGGTTCTTGCTTTAGAGAGAGCAGCTATCAGAAGCCAAAGGCAAGAAAATTACCAACTGCAGGATCCACTCATCCCCAACCTTGCGAAGGAATTCTAGTGGGGCAGTGGTTTAAGCAGTCAACTGCCAACAGAATGGCTGACACTGGCACCCACCAGCTTCTCTAAGGGAGAAAGATGCGGTGGGTCTTTGAAGCATCTCCAAAGATTATAGCCTTGGACACCCGTGGTGAAGTTCCATTCTCTCCTTTAGGCCCGCTATGTTTCAGCATTGATTCCAAAGTCAAAGGCTGAGTTTCTATTTTTGAACCCTGTCAAACAGGTCACCAATACTATGTTTGATCTGGGCTCTATAGGAAAGCCCTTGGTAGGAAAATACTTGGTCGTGACCGCTATATATTTTGAGTCTGGGAAGATAAAGCATTAAGAGCCAACCCAGAAGCCTCTGGCATCAGCATGACTTTAATTAGAACCCAAACGCACGGCCAAGAAGTTAATTCCATCTCAGAGTGATTTCGCAGGGCAGAGAACTGCTTCTTTGGTCTTTCAAGGCTGAAAATCCTTATGAGACCAGACAGCTTCATCTTTCTCCAGAGGAATGACTAGTGGGTTCAAACTCCCAACCTTTATGTTCATAGTGAACTAAGGTGCCAGGGATGCTTCATCCTTAATTATAAACTCAAAATCAAACTCCCGGCCATCAGGTCGATTCTGACTCACAGCGACCTTGAAGGACAGAGGGGAACTGCCTCTTCAGTTTTCCAGGACTGTAAGTTTTTACTGTAGCCTCCAGTAGCCTCATCTTTGTCTTGTGGAGTGGGTGGTGGTTTAGAACTGTTAGCCTTGAGTTAGCAGCCCAAGTCCTAATCCACAATGCTCCCAGCTCTTATCCTTAATAATGGCCTGTATTAAACCAAACTCGAGGCTTAGGCATCAGACACACCTGCACTTGAATATTGGCCCACTCCCCTTCCGGCACTGACAGTGGGCCATTGACTCTAATCTTTAGTTCTAGTTTTATCCATAAGGTTTCCAACGACTGACAGTCATGAAGATGGCGCAGGCCCAGGCAATGGTTCATCCTGTCTCATACATAGGGAGGTCAGCAGGTGTCAGAGCCAAATCAACGGCAACTCAGAGCCAGCCGCTCCACTTCCTTCACCAGGAAGCTGGGGCAAATCATACTTCCTCCTTTACAGCCTTTGTAAACAATGCACGTAAAACGCGTGGCGCCCTCTGACACGAAACAGACGTTCTGGCTGTGATGGCGATTATTTAGTGCCCTGCAAGTGTACCTTGGTCACAGTGCCAAGAATTTTTTAGAGCTTTTTTTTCAGTTGGAGGAGCCAAGGACTGCATTATGATGCATCCGTAACGGGTACGCAAGGCCCATTTCAAGAGAAAAGGAACGGAATTGAAATGTAGGCTGTAACATACCAGGTATTCTTTAGGAATCAGAAGGTACAAGTCAAACGTCTCAGTAAAACATCCCCTCATTGCCTGTCACCAACATGACTCTGCGAATAAAAACAGCCGGAAGCTCTGCTCTTGCAGAAGGGACACAGGAAAGAGATCAAAAAGTGTAAAGGAGGCATGGATTCTCCTTAGAGACCGAAATGCACATTGAATGTAAGATGCTACGTCACCGACTGCATGGCAACGACTCATTTTGAGCGACTGCATATAATGGTGATTATTTATGTTAGCACTCCCTCGGGGGCTTCTGCCACTTAAAATGAATCCTGGTTTGCAACAAGTAGTGAAGTCTTCATTCTCTTAGATTTGGACACAAGTCTGTTTCTTTAGAAAAGCAGGGATCCAAGTCATTAAAATAGATTAGTCCATTGATAATTATGAAGAGAAGGGTTAACGCAAGTGTGTTTCCAGTGCACAGCCTATTTTTAGATCCATGAACACACACACACACACACACACACACACACACCACTTGCCGACACAACCTAGTGAATGAAATGGTGAGTAGCAAATAGCTCAATTTCAGATGTGATCAGGAAAGGAGAGGGAGAGTTGAGGAAGAAGGGCCCTTCATTATTTTTTGTATCGGTGAGGCTTCATGGTTGCACATTTAACTAGCTTTCAGACATGACGCAAGCTCCTCGGGTGAGTAGAACGGACTCCTCACGGTGCTGTCAGTCGCTGCTCCGTTGATTCTAGCACCCCTGCATGTTCAGGGTAGAAGGTTCCAAAGAAGTTTGACCCTTTGAAGCACCCAGTGGCTGCATTCTCGTTGTGTGTAGGAAATAACCTTCAAGGTGGCCATGACCGAGGACAATGCTGAGTTCTCCGCAGGCAGTTATTTGTCACTGGAAGGCACCCCAATGGGGAGTCTGAATGTCTTCAGTGTCCCTCACCAGTCAATCCAGTGCTTGTCTCCCTAGGCCATTCACACACACACACACACACACACACACACACACACACACACACTGCATTCCACAGAATCTTCATTTAGTACAGATTAATTGTATCAATTTTATCTTTAATCTCACCATGAGGGCACATTCAAGTCATCTGGCTAATGGTGTTCACTTTAATCTGCCTTACGATTCATTCTTTGGCGGGACAATGGGCGGCAGTGGTTACCTCCTCCCTCTATTAGAGAACAGAGTGAAGCGCTGAGACCCTACTTCTGCTCAGATGGAATTCTCCCAATGCTCCTTCTTCTCTCACTCTGGACTCGTCTTGGATGGGCAAGACAGAGGGAAATTTCGAAAGAATCTTTTTGGTAAGATACATTGATACAAATCCTGGGCACTGCTCCTAGCACCAAAGTTACACTCATTGTTCTCAAAGACTCCCGATCTAGGTAAGGGGAGCAGGGTCATGGGAGCCGTGCTACAGGTCAAGCCCAGAGCGCTGGAAAGGGGAGAGGGAAATATGGGTGCACAGGTCAGAGGCCAGAGAGTACAGCTGTCTGGAAGCTAACCCAGTAGCGAGGAAGAAGGCTGGAGATGAGTGTGGAGATGGATCGCGAAGAATTGGAGGCCAATATGAAAACACCAGAGAGCCATGGGAAGAGATTTTGAGGAGGTACATGGTCATTTGATTTATTTCTAGGATTTCCCCCCACTGACATGCCAGCCAAAAAGGATGTGGTTTAGAAGAAGGAGGAAGGCTAAACCTAGTTCCACAGATGAGAACTAATGCTTTGTTCTCCCCCTCTCCATTTCTTTTTCTCTCTCTGCTTGTTTCTTAGGGGGTTCGTGGTAAGGTCTAAGGGGGTAGCAGTAGAAATGGAGAGGAAATGGTATCATCAAGAGAGATTAAGTCTTCAAGAAGACAAGCAGAGAATCTAAAAGGCCCAAATGAAAACTTGGTTTTAGGGAAGGTTATAAAAATAAGACTTGGAGTTAATATCTGAATATAAACCTAGTGTAAGACTATAGAGCAATGTGACTCTAAGAAAGTAGAAAGAAACATTTCTTTATTAGAAATTGAGCGCCTGAATCACAAAGAACAATAATACTCCCCCAAACCAATTGTCAATGTGCTGATTCTGGCCCACAATGTAGCTCCATATGGTTTCCATGACTGCTGTCTTTCAGAAGCAGACACCAGGCCTCTCATCAGTGGTATCTCATCTCTGAGTGCCTGTGAGCCACCACCTCTCCATGAACAGTCAAATGCCCAGCAGCTTGCTCCACCAGAGACTCCACTCATCCCAGCATCCTCTACGCTGATGAGGCTACTGCTCTATCTGGATGTGAACTCTAAAGGAAGTGTCCAAATTCTAGGCTCTTAGGCAGAAGGAAGGTGAAACCATCATCAGGAGGTAGCAAACACAACAATCAGCTGAGATCGCAGGCTTAAAAAAATTCAAAAAGTAATATAGTAGGAAAAACAGGTTTGCATCAAACTACTGAGGCTTCACAGGTTTGTTTTAGATGATTGGATTTTATTTCCTAGAGGAAAAGCAGCTATGAAGATTTCTGAGCAGAGTAATGACATAACCAGAAGTCCTCATTAATAATATTAATTTAGGGGCAAGAAAGATGTGGCTATAGGCAGGAAGAGAAGGTGACCAGGAGGCCTCTTAGAAGACTATTACGATTGCTGTGTCATGGTATGCCAGGAGTCTGCATTTCTTTCACTCTGTGAGGGAGAACCTACTTTCCAATAGGGCTCTGCAGGGTGAATGTTTCACAAAGCAGTTTTTTGCTGTTGTTAATTAGCAAACCTCCCAAGTTACCACTCTGTTCAAGAGGATGAGACGCATTAGTTCATTTGCATTGAACTTATTACTTCAGTAAAAGCTACCAATTATGCCACTAATTTAGAAGATGTGTTGATCTATATAGGAGCAGAGATAAAATTCACACAGTGTAAATTATGTAA